TACATCAAAAACTAATGAAAACTGAGGGTTCTAGAGGGGAGGGGGGTGGGAGGATGGGTTAGCCTGGTGATGGGTATTAAAGAGGGCACGTACTGAATGGAGCACTGGGTGTTATACGCAAATAGTGAATCATGGAACACTACATCAAAAACTAATGATGTAATGTATGGTGATTAACATAACATAATAAAAAAAAACTAATGATGTATGGTGACTAACAACATAATAAGATAAAATTAAATTTTAAAAAATAAACTATAGGAAAAACAACACAATTCCATCACCAAAAGGTAATGTGATTAATTTATTAATGAAGTCATTCTAACCTTTATATATAAACATATGCACACACTTTTCAAAACATAATTTTTTATAGGCACTTAATATTTCATCATAGATTTAACCATTGTTCTTTTGTTCATTTATTTTTGCTTCTGTAAATAATGCAAACATAATAATCTTGTACATTTTTGTCTACAACTCTGAGGTATGTGTAGAGTAGACTCCTAGAAATTACTGGTTCCAAACTCTATAACATTTGATACAGATACTCAGTATGGACCATTAAATTGCCTTTTAAAAAGTATCGGCATCATATGAGAATGGCCATCTTATCATAACCTTATCCATTTCCTTGTATGGATTATTATGATTTAGAAATTATTGCCAGTCTCAAAAGTGATAAATGTTAATCTTTGTTATTAAAATTGCTATTTATTTGTAACTTGATTTTAATTTCTTTTCATATTGGAAATATTTGGCTACTAGGAAAACAAACTTTCTCAATATAGCTTTCCTGTGGAGTTTAGAATGCAGCAAATACACATTTTGGTTAACTGCTTAATGGCAGTTGTTAAAATCACTATTCAGTCAAGATCTAAGATAAGTATTCTCATCATAGAATTAACTTCTAAGAAATAAGAATAAATCTTGATTTGTTTAAAATCATAAATTATTATTACACCTTCAATATTATTATAACATAGAAACAATAACTTCAGTCTGTGCCTAACTTGCTTTTGTGGTTACTATACTACATTTTGCAGTACTAAATAGATGTTTTCTCTCAAGTTAAGACTGATGAAGAAAAACATGTTTTTACCTAGCTGTAGGATAGGGTACCACTGATGGTCTTACAGTAAGTTATTAAACTTTTCTCTTTGATAGTAACTGAAAGAGCACGCTCCTCTTCAGTTTCTGGATTGAAGATTGGATCAGTAGTTATAATTTATAAAAACAGTCCCACAAACTAAAACATTCTGATATTTTCTTTATTTGCTATTTTATACTATCACTTAAGAAAAATCTGTCACTTTTAAACCTTGGGTTTAAAATGTGACAGTGGAGCAATGTGTTTGGTTTTCCAGATAACAAAATTACTTCTGAATTTTCATCTGCATCTAAGCTTATATCACATGCACAATAATTTAACATCTTTTCTGGAGTAGAACGATAGGATCTTTACAGCAGGTATCATGTAAAATATACTTGCACTCTTGGCATACATGGTGATTTCTTTAGCAGCTTTTTGCAAATAAACTATTTTCATGTGTTCAGTCAGCCTTTTTAACATGTTTGAGTGCTATCATGTTTTGCTTGAATATCCTGATAAAATAGTTCTAAACTCTCTTATATGCCATAAAATTTGTCTTTGGCTGAAGGATGATCTGCCAGCCTGCTATATCCCCACTTAGAGCCAGGTATTCTCTGAATTATGTTTAGCTATGTTTACTTTCTATGCACACAACTAATAGAACATGCTTGCAATTTCTGACTTACTCATGGCCTTCATTGTGTTTGTTCCTTTGTCAACGACAGTTCTATAGCACTTGTTAAAAATGGACTTTTTGGGGGCGCCTGGGTGGCTCAGTTGGTTAAGCGACTGCTTTCGGCTCAGGTCATGATCCTGGAGTCCCTGGATCGAGTGCCGCATCAGGCTCCCTGCTTGGCAGGGAGTCTGCTTTGCCCTCTGATCCTATCCCCTCTCATGTGTTCTCTCTCAAATAAATAAATAAAATCTTTTTTTAAAAAAAAAGGACTTTTTGTCCTAGTATTTTTCCAATCAGATACATTGTATTGTTTGCTGTGAGACCCAGCAAAGTACACAAGTAAATTAGAAACCATTAAATTCATCAATTTACTCTGCTGTCATACTTAAAAATATTTCTGTCCAAATGTCTGATGTACAAGATGCGGAAGTAGCATATTTAATAATATCACTTACTGTTTTGTGCCCTGCAGATTATAATTCATGGAAAAGTTTTTTAGAAACATATTTTCTAAAAAGAATTTTTGCTTGGGATTCACAGTTTTTGCAAATTTCATATACCTTCTGAGTTCAACTACTGAAAATGTAATCTAACAATTATTTCAACCAGATTTTTGTCTCAATTTTTAGTGTCATTAACACAAATCTAAAAGGAATTCTTTCCTGAAGAATTCTTGTAAAATCTTGTTTAGAAGTTTGGGCAGTCACTCTAACCCTTTATTTTCTTCATATTCTCTATATACCTCATTATGTTTGGGCTGAATATGTTTATTGTGAATGTTGTATATTTTGAAGTTTTTCATTCCCTTAAAATTTTGGTTTAGCAAACTTGACATTCTGCTATTAATTCACCCTCAAATGATGTGACAAATTTCCAAACAACTTTTTTCTTAAAAATTTCATGGCCTAAATGGAATGAAATATTGTTCCTGAAAGTTATTTCATTTAATTTTATGCATTTTTAATTCCCTAAATAAATGTTTTGGAGACTAAAAAAAATATAACTCATTATTTTTAAAAGATTTTATTATTTATTTATTTATTTATTTATTTTAGAGAGCGAGATTGGGGGAGGGGAAGAGGGAGAGGGAAAGAATCTTAAGCAGACTCTGTACTGAGCATGGAGCCCGATGAGGGGGCTCCATCTCATGACCCTGAGATCATGACTTGAGCCAAAACCAAGAGTCAGATGCTTAACTGACTGAGCCACACAGGTGCTACTCATTCTTTACTCTAAAGTTTATTTCTTCAGCGTAGGGAGAGGATTCTGAGAGAACAAGATTTACACATGTAAAATAATATGAAAACAATTTAATATAATGGAGCACAGAGAGCTACGTTGAATTAGCTTGTCGGCTGGTGTACTTCCAGTTTTCATGGTGGTATTAAATCTTGAGATGGTGTTCAAAGTGTGGGTAAGATTTGGATACACAACAAGAAGGAGAGAGCGTATTCCAAGGAGTGAAAAATGTGAGTAAAGAATAGAGACAGGAATAACATGATGTGTGCCCAGGACAGTGAAATCCACTGTGGTTGGAACAGAGAAAATGTTGGGAAATAGAAAGCGCTGCTATGTGTTAACATTTGAAGGTTTTATATTGAATATGCACAAGTTAGTAATTTATGACATATAAACACATTATGTGATGATATTGAGTTTACCAGGTTATCTACTTATGCCTTTATATAGGAGACTTTACTCTCTTTAGGAGGCAATCATTACTTCTCTAAGAAACCAACTTCAAAGGGTACATGGACAAGATAACATTGTGGTGTATTCATCAAGAATTTCAAAAATGTGAAATATATATATATATCTTAATGAAAACATGAAGATACTATTCTGTACTTTTAATATGGCATTTTCTATTTATCTGTATTTTTTAAAGATTTATTTATTTTAGAGAGAGAGAGAGTGAGCATGAGTGGGAGGGTAAGAAGGAGAAGGAGAGAGAATCTCAAGCAGACTCTGCCCCGAGTGTGGAGCCCAACATGGGGCTTGATCTCATGACCCTGAGATCATGACCTGAGCTGAAACCAAGAGTTAGACACTTAACTGACTGTGCCACCCAGGCACCCCAATTTATCTGTATTTTATAAATGACTTACCATATCACAGACATGGTTATGAAAACTCATCTTTGCTTACTTTGCAATATTTGCAAATCTTCCATTTGCCTCAGCATACATGATTTTTAGGGTCTGCATTCAGAGGACAAGTTGAAAAGGAAGTATTAGTGGTCAAATATGAAGTCTATTTATCATATATATACTTAGGAATAAATGCATTTATAGGACACCTTTGGTCCCACATGCAATATCAAAGGTAGTATGGAATGCAATCTAAGTTATTAGCCTCCAGTTAGTGTTTGGAGATGGAAGACAAGGTGGTCAACATTTTTGAAAAGTTTGGTACCAAGTTATATGAAGCCAATAGAATAGGTGTTATTTAGGACACTGTTCATAGTAATTGTGTTTAGGATTTCAAATGTTTTTGAAGTCTATGAATTTTCTACATTTGACCCTTAGCTACTCTTTCCCATGTCAGATTGACTAGATATTCAGTCCAAATAATAACTGGAGGGAATATAAGAAGAAATACCTAAAAACATATTGAATTGAGAAGATTAATTTAATCTAACTTTAATATATGTTAATAAATTACGCTGTCTTTCACTGAGAAGATGCAAGTCCAAATAAAATTAATTCTTTAATGTCAGTATAATTCAAATAATTAACATGTTCTTTTCCAACAGGAAACAGAAGAGTAAGCCATGTGGTGATAATGGGCAATTTAGAGATTTTGATTTACTTGTTTTACTTTTATATATATATATATATATATCAAGAATTTTTATATAAATTATTCAAGTTTTGCATTCATTAGATCATTTAGATTAGTGAAATAAAATTGAAAATGTTATTGTAATGTTGCTTTTCCTTTAAATTCCTTTCATATTGAAAAATGTGTACCTCAGTTGTAAAGAAAATTTAGTGGGTTGACTCATGTGATGACTTTGTAATAAGTTACTTGTATTAATAGGTTATGTAACTTTTTCTCATTTAATATCAAAACATCTATCAACTTAGAAATACTTAATGTTGTTTATAATCGTACTTGATGCTTTCTTCAGGTGATAATTCAAGATGATGGCCCTGAAAAGTTGGACCCCAAATATTTTGGAGAGTTACTTGCGGATTTAAGCCGTAAAAATACAGATCTATATTATTGCTTATTAGAACATTTGCAGAGAATTGGAGGAAGGTACTGTAAATATATAATATCATTTGCCTCGATGTTGTAGCTATCAAACATTTTATAATACTTTGGTATTTTTTAATGTACTTTATTTTTTAGAACAGTTTTAGGTTCACAAAAAAACTCTAGTACTTCTTTTTTTTAGGGTTTTATTTTTAAGTAATCTCTACACCCAACAAGGGGCTCAAACTCACAACCCCCAAGATCAAGAGTCACATGCCTCACTGACTGAGCCAACCAGGTGCCCCAAAATTCTAGTATTTTATTGGGGAAATAGGGTAACTATATGAGCATATTTGAGCAAATGTCTCATTTTAAGAGTTAATGTACTTCATGAAAATCATCAAAAGAGATCACACCAGTCCTTTTAGGATCAGTAAATAATTCTGTGAACCTTCTTTTGTAACATACTTTGATGGCAAATGCAACCTCTTGGACAGGGAGCTCAAAAAACTCATGGCATACTATGACTTGTTATAAGATATTATACTGATGATATAAGATACCATCCACTGTCAATACACTACTATTCATCTTCCATTGATTTATGCTCAATGTACAAAGGCCAGAGTTTAATATACATTTAGTGTTATATATTATGAAAAATATTATGTATTATTTAAATATATATTGCATTGCATATATTAAATGTAAATTATATAAGTATTTGTAAATTAATACAAATACAAATATGTATATTTTATAATTATATACTAAATAATTATATGTATTTAAATATATACACATAAACAATTTATCAACTACTCATGCATAGATGAGAGCATATTATGTCCTGAAATGAATTCCATAAGCTACATAAGCTACAAAATTTGCCTTTCACTACATAGTCACATCATATATATGGCCAACTATCAGACAAATTCTAGGAAAGCTCCACAAATTCAGAAAAATATGTAGGATAAAGGAAAGTTGGTAAATTTTTTTTTTCTAATTCACACTTCACTAACTGGATTCTTCTACCTCTTAAAGATCTTTAATCTCTTATCCATCTTTTTCCCTCTCCATTTATTACAATCCTTTCTCCCCATTTTTAACTCCATCCTAACTTTTCTTGCTTTCATATTCATGACTGCACCATTCTCTTACTAACATCCTCAAGTGCCTTACCTTCTTATCTTATTGTTCCTCCCACTTAGCATAATCCCAATTCTTGAGTAGTCTAGCTCTCTGCTTTATTTATTGTTTCTTTTTACCACTATCTACTCTGTCCAATACATAACACTCACTACCCCTAGAATTCAGAGGGTTTTGTGAGGGCTGTTTTATTTACCCTGGTTTCCTTGGTGTTTAGCATGGTGACTAGTTTAGTGTGGTGTTCAATAAATATTTGTTGAATATATGAATGCTTCTTTTAAAAATTTTTTTAAAGTTTTTATTTAAATTCAAATTAGTTAACACACAGTGTAATATCAGTTTCAGGTATACAATATAGTGATTTAACACTTCCATACATCACCCAGTGCTCATCATAAGTGCCCTCCTTAATCCCCATCACCTATTTAACACATCCCCCCCCCACCTCCCTTCTGGTAACCATGTTTGCTCTATAGTTATCTTATAAAACTCAACACACAGGGTGCCTGGGTGGCTCAGTTGGTTAAGCGACTGCTTTCGGCTCAGGTCATGATCCTGGAGTCCCGGGATCGAGTCCCGCATCGGGCTCCCTGCTCAGCAGGGAGTCTGCTTCTCCCTCTCCCGCTCCCCCCTCTTGTGCTCTTTCTCTCTCTCACTCTCTCTCTCAAATAAATAAATAAAATCTTTAAAAAAAAAACCAACACACAAAAAAACAAACAATCCAATTAAAAATAGGCAGAATACAAAGGATATATGTGCCCCAATATTTATAGCACCATTATCAACAATAGCCAAACTATGGAGAGATCCCAAATGCCCATCGACTGATGAATGGATAGAGAAAATATGGTATATATATACAATGGGATATTATTCAGCCATCAAAAAGATTGAAAGCTTGTCATTTGCAATGACATGGATGGAACTAGAGTGTATTATGCTAAGTGAAATAAGTTAGAGAAAGACAAATACCATATTATCTCACTCATAATTGGAATTTAATAAAGAAAACAGATGAACATATAGGAAGGGGGAAAAGAAAAAAAAAGGAGAGAGAGAAACAAGCCATAAGTGACTCTTAACAGTAGGGAACAAACTGAGCGTTGATGGAGGGAAATGGGTAGGGGATGGGCTGGATGGGTGATGGGTATTAAAAAGGGCATTTGTTGTGATGAGCACTGGGTGTTGTATGTAAGTGATGAATCACTAAATTTTACTCCAGAAACCAATGTTGCACTACATGTTAACTAACAAAATACATATGAAAAGATGCTCAACATCACTGATCATCAGGGAAATGCAAATCAAAACTACACTGAATGCCTTCTTTACTGCTACATCCATGCAGTTGAGCACAGTTAGAGAAAAGCACAGGCATTTATGGAGTCATTATAAATGCATGATTTCCATCTTCAGTTAGGCCTTCTTCATTGTTTTATTCTAATAAACACCTTTTCTCATTACCCAAAAAACTATTTCACACAACCAGCCATTTGCATAAGGTCACTACCTTAAAATCTTCCCCCTCACTCTGAGTAGTCAATTATTTATTGAGTGTACACTAAGTGCCAAGGACACTGTGCTAAGTACTTTTCCTATATTGTCTAATTTGTACAGTAACCCTAGAAAGTTTCAAATGGAGACCCAAAGGGAGTAAGTTATTAACTTAAGGTCACAACAGCTACTAAATGCTTGAAATGGATTAAACATTTTTGAGTACTATTTTACCTATAAACTGTGACTCAGCTTTTCTACAAAGCCTCTCTTAGATATTTAATTTGGTCAAGTGTTCATCTCTGTACATTCATCATGCCATATGAATATTTCTATCAAAGTATCACATTGTAAAATCAAAAGCATATAGAGACTTAGTCTTAAGTACCCTGATTCTAGATCCAGAGTTCATATCCTGGGCTTATGTTTCAGCTTTTGTTACATACTTGATGTGTAATGTCAGGCAACTTGTTTACTTTCTCTGTACTTCAGTTTCTTCATCTGTAAAATAGGTATTATAATAACAATACTTACCTCTTAGATTTGTTATAAGCCAAAAATGATTGAAGACATACACTTACAAGCAGTATCAGCATCATGTGAGAACTTGGAAATAGCACTACAGAATCAGAAACTAAGGGAGTAGGGGACAGCAACAAACCTCCAGAGGACTCTGATATATGCTTAAGTTTGAGAATCACTTACCTAAGGCCACAAAGGTCAAAAGATCTGAGATTAGAACCCATATTCTTTTTTTTTTTTATTCTTATGTTAATCCCCATACATTACATCATTAGTTTTAGATGAAGTGTTCCATGATTCATTGTTTGTCCATAACACCCAGTGCTCCATGCAGAATGTGCCCTCCTCAATACCCACCACCAGGCTAACCCATCCTCCCAACCCCCTCCCCTCTAGAACCCTGTTTGTTTTTCAGAGTCCATCGTCTCTCATGGTTCGTCTACCCCTCTGATTTCCCCCGCTTCATTCTTCCCCTCCCGCTACCTTCTTCTTCTTTTTTTTTTTCTTAACATATATTGCATTATTTGTTTCAGAGGTACAGATCTGAGATTCAACAGTCTTGCACAATTCACAGCGCTTACCAGAGCACATACCCTCCCCAGTGTCTATCACCCAGTCACCCCATCCCTCCCACCCCACCCCCCACTCCAGCAACCCTCAGTTTGTTTCCTACAATTAAGAATTCCTCATATCAGTGAGATCATATGTTACATGTCTTTCTCTGTAGAACCCATATTCTGAGAAGCTTTTCTCCTTAGGCAAATCACTTAACCTTTCAGTATTAGACATATATCTCCAAATTATTTAAGATAATGCAGAAAAATTGAAGAAATTATCAATTTTTTGAATCATCAAACTTGAAAAGTTCACAGTATTTAGACTGGTTTGACATTGTTCAAATTTTGTCTTGGAACAACTATGTTTATATGAAGTAAGACAGTATTTGTGGTTTGTATTGCCCCCAAATAGTTCAGAACACATGGATTTGACAAAGTTTCTACTCAATAAAGGGTTATAGAATGAGAGTTGAATATATTCCAAATTTATTAGTTTCATACTAATTAGAAGTAGACAAAGTAACTGAACAAAAGAAGTTATGTTATTTCATAGTGATTATCCCAGTAAAAGTGTAATCCGTGGTTTTGGAACAACACTTTCATTGAGGGGTTTTGATAAATTTACATGGATAACTTAAATATGTGATTAAGCAATACAAAGCCTTGAATTTAATTCTTAGAGTACCTAAAATAATACACACACAAAAGAAATAGAAAGGTAGTGTCTCCACATTAATAAACACTCCACAGTGGAGAGGGTCTTTTAAAATTTTGGTGATTAAGACTTTCTGTTAGAAGGTTGTCAGTTTCTTTCTCTTTATTCCTTCCCTCTTTTCCACCTTTCATTATTTTCTGTTTGTTTTTCCTTATTATATTCCTTCCTTCCTAAGAGGTGAGATGGCATATAGTAGTGTCACTGTTTTTAAAAAAAATTTAAAATTTTTATTTAAATTACAGTTAGTTAACATACAGTGTAATATTAGTTTCAGGTGTACAATATAATGATTCAACACTTCCATACAACACTGGTGCTCATCATAACAAATGGACTCCTTAATCCCTATCACCTACTTAACCCATCCTCCACCCACCTCCCCTCTGGTAACCATCAGTTTATTCTCTATAATTAAGAGTCTGTTTCTTGGTTTGTCTCTCTCTTTTTCCCCATGCTCTTTTGTTTTGTTTCTTAAATTCCACCACATATGAGTGAAATCATATGGTATTTGTCTTTCTCTGACTGACTTATTTCCCTTAGCATAATTCTCTCTAGCTCCACCAATGTCATTGCAAAGGGCAAGATATCATTCTTTTTTATGGCTGAGTAATATTCCATTATAT